ATTGTTTCCTGGTTGTGCAACCTCTTTGCAGAACTTTATTATATTTATCTTTCTACTGTATATGCAAAATCAGTTGATGAAACTTCTTCAACTCTTTGATGCACTAGTGGTAACCTGTCCATAGAGTAATGTGAAAATTGCTATAGCATAATAAATGAATGTTGACTTGTGCCTTTGTATGAACCCTATTGTTCTGGTTCCAAGCTCAATGTTGCAAGCTACACATGCTTTTTAAATTTCAGTAAGGATTTCGCAGTCATTGAAGGTGCTACCTGAGAAAACACCCACCAAGTTCTGTTTTGATTTACACGTTAGATAAACCCATTGACTTACTAGGATTAAGTAGCATGTCCCCTTTTAATAGGGTTTCAGGACAGGAGCAACTACAATAAAGAGTTCCTAAAGTCCTCACCTCAGGAGCCTTCCTCAGAGCTCCCAAACTTCAGAGGTCACAAAACAGTCTCTCAGAGTATATCTGCTCTACAGCTGAGAGATGTGATTCCCCGCGTGGGCAGACAGGTTCACACAATACTCCATTCACGCTAGCATGCTAAATATAGCAGCATGGATGTTGTGGCACTTGCAGTGGCTTGGGCTGAAAATGTTACAGTGTAAAGCCACAGGGGACATAAAGAGCCTGATTCTGAAAACATTTACTACTACCCTGCATACTCTCAATGATGTCTATCAGGCCCAGAGCCTGTATACAAGATAGCTCCTCAGCTGGTATATGCTGGCACAGCCCTAGTGAAGTTAACAAAGCAAGGCTGATTTCACCAGCTGACATAACTTTAAGGATAAGTAGATTCATATTAGATTCCAAGGCCAAATCATCTAGTCTGAGCTCCTGAATAACACAGGCCATAGAACTTCCCCTAAATAGGTTGGGGAGCTCAAGGAAGTCAATGGGACAGTTCACATGAATAAGTTAAGCACGGCAGTGCAAAGTATTTGCAGGACTGGCCCTAAAACCAGAGCAACCCCTGGAGGAGGTGAGCGCCCCGTACACTGTGTGCTTCACACTCCTCAGACCCGCTGTGATCATAGAATCATAGAATATCAGGAAAAAGAACAGGAGTACTTGTGGCACCTTAGAGACTAACAAATTTATTAGAGCATAAGCTTTCGTGGGCTACAGCCCACTTCTTCGGATGCATAGACTGGAACATATATTGAGGAGATATATATACACACATACAGAGAGCATGAACAGGTGGGAGCTGTCTTACCAACTCTGAGAGGCCAATTATGAATGATTGCCTGTTAGCTCTCATAAAGATGAGGAATTATTTTCTTGCAGACCTGAAGCAATATGATGTTCAAAGAATGGCATTGACTTTAAGTGGGTTTTGCTGACCAGTGACTTCTTAAAAACTATCTGTCAGGGGTTACAGCCAATTTCATTGCAGCTGTCTTCTGCCAAGAATAGTATTTATCATTGTAATTTTCTTATACAGTGTAAAGAGCATAAACTAGTCATTAGTGGCCAGGATAGGTTCCTGGGTCAGTGTTTTTGTTCAGTGATGTGTGCTTGCTGGTGAGTATTTGCTTCAGGTTGGGGGGTTGTCTGTAAGCGAGGACAGGTCTGTCTCCCAAGATCTGTGAGAGTGAGGGATCATCTTTCAGGATAGGTTGTAGATCTTTGATGATGCGCTGGAGAGGTTTTAGTTGGGGGTTGAAGGTGACAGCTAGTGGTGTTCTGTTATTTTCTTTGTTGGGCCTGTCTTGTAGGAGGTGACTTCTGGGTCCTCGTCTGGCTCTGTCAATCTGTTTTTTCACTCCACACAGACCTGTCCTCGCTTACAGACAACCCCCCAACCTGAAGCAAATACTCACCAGCAACCACACATCACTGAACAAAAACATTGACCCAGGAACCTATCCTTGCAACAAAGCCCGATGCCAACTCTGTCCACATATCTATTCAAGTGACATCGTCATAGGACCTAATCACATCAGCCATACCATCAGGGGCTCGTTCACCTGCACATCTACCAATGTGATATATGCCATCATGTGCCAGCAATGCCCCTCTGCCATGTACATTGGCCAAACCGGACAGTCTCTAAGCAAAAGAATTAATGGACACAAATCTGACATCAGGAATCAAAAACCAGTGGGAGAACACTTTAACCTGTCTGGTCATTCAATGACAGACCTGCGGGTGGCTATTTTACAACAGAAAAGCTTCAAAAACAGACTCCAACGAGAGACTGCTGAGCTGGAATTGATATGCAAACTAGATACAATCAACTTAGGCTTGAATAAGGACTGGGAATGGCTGAGCCATTACAAACATTGAATCTATCTCCCCTTGTAAGTATTCTCACACTTCTTATCAAACTATCTGTACTGGGCTATCTTGATTATCACTTCAGAAGTTTTTTTCTCTTACTTAATTGGCCTCTCAGAGTTGGTAAGACAACTCCCACCTGTTCATGCTCTCTGTATGTGTGTATATATATCTCCTCAATATATGTTCCAGTCTATGCATCCGAAGAAGTGGGCTGTAGCCCATGAAAGCTTATACTCTAATAAATTTGTTAGTCTCTAAGGTGCCACAAGTACTCCTGTTCTTTTTGCGGATACAGACTAACATGGCTGCTACTCTGAAACCTAGAATATCAGGATTAGAAGGGACCTCAGGAGGTCATCTAGTCCAACCCTCTGCTCAAAGCAGGACCAATCCCCAACTAAATCATCCTAGCCAGGGCTTTGTCAAGCCTGACCTTAAAAACCTCTAAGGAAGGAGATCCCACCACCTCCCTAGGTAACCCATTCCAGTGCTTCACCACCCTCCTAGTGAAAACGTTTTTCCTAATATCCAACCTAAACCTCCCACACTGCAACTTGAGACCATTACTCCTTGTTCTGTCATCCGCTACCACTGAGAACAGTCTAGATCCATCCTCTTTGAAACCCCCTTTCAGGTAGTTGAAAGCAGCTATCAAATCCCCCCTCATTCTTCTCTTCTGCAGACTAAACAATCTCAGTTCCCTCAGCCTCTCCTCATAAGTCTTGTGCTGCAGCCCCCTAATCATTTTTGTTGCCCACTGCTGGACTCTTTCCAATTTTTCCACATCCTTCTTGTAATGTGGGGCCCAAAACTGGACACAGTACTCCAGATGAGGCCTCACTAATTCCGAATAGAGAGAAATGATCACATCCCTCGATCTGCTGGCAATGCCTCTACTTATACAGCCCAAAATGCCATTAGCCTTCTTGGCAACAAGGGTACACTGTTGACTCATATCCAGCTTCACGTTCACTGTAACCCCTACGTCCTTTTCTGCAGAACTGCTGCCTAGCTATTCGGTCCCTAGTCTGTAGCAGTGCATGGGATTCTTCCGTCCTAAGTGCAGGACTCTGCACTTGATCTTGTTGGACCTCTTCAGATTTCTTTTGGCCCAATCTTCTAATTTGTCTAGGTCCTTCTGTATCCTATCCCTACCCTCCAGCGTATCTACCACTCCTCCCAGTTTAGTGTCATCTGCAAACTTGCTGAGGGTGCAGTCCACGCCATCCTCCAGATCATTAATGAAAATATTGAACAAAATCGACCTCAGGACCGACCCTTGGGGCACTCTGATTGATACCAGCTGCCAGCTAGACATGGAGCCATTGATCACTACCCGTTGAGCCCGATGATCTAGCCAGCTTTCTATCCACCTTATAGTCCATCTATCCAGCCCATACTTCTTAAACTTGCCAGCAAGAATACTGTGGGAGACCATATCAAAAGCTTTGCTAAGGTCAAGGAATAACACGTCCACTGCTTTCTCCTCATCCACAGACCCAGTTATCTCATCATAGAAGGCAATTAGGTTAGTCAGGCATGACTTGCCCTTAGTGAATCGATGCTGACTGTTCCTGATCACTTTCCTCTCCTTTAAGTGCTTCAGAATTGATTCCTTGAGGACCTGCTCCATGATTTTTCCAGGGACTGAGGTGAGGTTGACTGGCCTGTAGTTACCTGGATCCTCCTTCTTCCCTTTTTTAAAGATGGGCACTACATTAGCCTTTTTCCAGACCTCCCCCGATCACCATGAGTTTTCAAAGAGAATGGCCAATGGCTCTGCAATCACATTCGCTAACTCCTTTAGCAACCTCGGATGCAGCGCATCCGGCCCCATGGACTTGTGCTCGTCCAGTTTTTCTAAATAGTCCTGAACCACTTCTTTCTCCACAGAGGGCTGGTCGCCTCCTCCCCATGCTGTGCTGCCCAGTGTAGTAGTCTGGGAGCTGACCTTGTTCGTGAAGACGGAGGCAAAAAAAGCATTGAGTACATGAGCTTTTTCCACATCCTCTGTCTCTAGGTTGCCTCCCTCATTCACTAAGGGGCCCACACTTTCCTTGACCCTCTCACAGGTGGGGACCGAGCCAGTTGTATATGAGGCAGGAGGCCAACATGGGTGAAGGTGGAGGATGGTGGTAGGGTTGCCAACTTTGGTTGGACGTATTCCTGGAGGTTTCATCAGATTACATAATCTTTAATTAAAGATTAATCATAGAATATTAGGGTTGGAAGAGACCTCAAGAGATCATCTAGTCCAAACCTCTGCTCAAAGCAGGACCAACACCAACTAAATCATCCCAGCCTTTAACTTTCATTCCTGGAGACTCCAGGACAATCCTGAAGATTTGGCAACCCTAGACCTAGATGATGGCGCAAGAGCAAAACAGGGAACAGGTGATAAGGCGGGGGAGACGATGCCAAGCCCAAGTCAGGGTCCTAGAGAGGGCTGGGGGCGGGGCTTAGCCCTGCCTGTTGCCCCTGACAACAGCCCCTCTGCGGCCCCTCCAGGAGCTAGGCAGCGTCTTGCCCAAACCAAAGATGGCGGCGCCGCGCCCTCAGTCCCGCCCCGTTGCTGGGCCAGGCGCTTTCCGAGCGGCCCCACGTGTGCGCGCGGTGGGGCTAGAGCGAGGGGGACTCGCTTCGCCCAGCCGGGGCACCCGGCTCCGCGGCCATGAGCGGGGCCGAGGGGGGCGCTCGGCGCTCCCAGGCCTTCCGGCTGCCGGGGCGACACGGCTACGCGGTGGAGTTCTCGCCCTACCTGCCCGGGCGCCTGGCCTGCGCCGCCGCGCAGTACTACGGCATCGCCGGTGAGGGAGGGGCCGCGTTTCCCCCCGTGTTACCCTCCCTGGGGGCTTGTCCTCACCCTCCCGCGGGCTCTCCGCCTCTCCCACCCCTCACTTATTGCGGGGCGGGGCTGCAGCCCCGGCCCGCTCCCGCGCCTCCCCGCCCAGGAAGCTGCAACAGGAGCCCTTGCGCCCCCTCCCCCTGAGCCTGCTGTGACACCCGCTGTAGCCCCGCGGGGCCCTGGTGCCTGAGCTAGGTCGGGGGAAATGCCAGTCCCTACCGAGCTCTGTGGCATCGGAATGTCTCCTCCTCCCCCCAGCCCCTTTCCGTCTGTAACGCTCCCTGCTCGGCCTCCCCTAAAGTTTGCGATCTGCTCCGCGTTACACCTTCATGGGCTGGCGCTGATCTTTGCAAACAGACCTACAGCTGGATAACTTCCATGCGCCTAAGTGTGTTTGGGGCCTGTGTTACTGTGCAGTGGTGTTTATCTCCGCCCCTTGCTTTGAGACCTTTGGCAACTTTGACTCCCGAGGAATCTTAACCGTTTCTTTCCCCCTCCTCGGTGCTGCTTCCAGAGACAGCGTTGCTGCTGCTGCCTCTGGAGTGCAACTACTGATTAGACCAGTCAATTCTTAGTGTGCATTGTGTTTTTTTTTCTCTCTTGCCCCAGTGGGGGGAGAGAGGGTGGAATATGTGCACTAGGATCTTTTGACCTGTAAGATGCTGAGCTGAAGAGTTATTACACATTCTTACTTCGGTTTTGCTATGTTTGGAGGAAGCAAAAGTCTATGGTTACATGGACTACAAATATTTTATAAATACATATAAAATGTAGGCTGCTACTGATTTGGGGGTTTTCTAATTCTAGTTAAAGGGGTACTGTCATCTTTAAACTTGTGTATTGCAGACAAACACATTTATTCTGCTAATATGACGTTAAGTTATTGAAAGTCAATAACTTTGAAAGTCTGTCAGGGACGGTACTTGGTCCTGCTGTGAAGACAGGGGACTGGACTCAATAACCTTTCAAGGCCCCTTCCAGCTCTATGAGATAGGTATATCTCCATATAATAAATGAAGGGGTGTTTAAAAGCCAATTTATTACTTATGATTTTTTAAAGGATGTTAAGAAAAATTATAGTTTCACTTTAGTCCCAATCCTGCTAACTATATGAGTACACCTTTTAAAGTCAGTGGGCTACTTTTGCATGTGAGTGACAGGACTTGTACAAGTATCTGCTGGCATTACCTTTTTCGGCTTTTCAAACTTTGTTTATCGGTTAAATTACATTCTGAACTGTTCATCTACCTTAAGAATGTTATGGTGTTTACGGGCATTTGCTACCTACAAATGATAACTTGCAATGTCTAATAAAAATGGGTACTTTGTAAATAGTGTTTTAAAACAACATGTAGTGTTTTCCTGTACAGCAAATACAGTACAGAAAAATAAACATCACTGTTTAAAATATAATAAAAATAAAATACTGCTTGTTTTCATTAACCTAGCCCATAACGTCAATTACATACAGAAGGAATGTGCTGTATCAACAGTAAGCCAGCCTAGAGGCCCCAATCCTGCAAATACTTAAGGATACACATACTTTTAGTCACATAATTGGGCCTACTTATGCATGGGGTAGTTATGCAGGTATTCCTTCACAGGTTTGAGACTGATGGGCCCAGTCTTACTATCCTGAAGTCATTTGATGTTTTGCCATTTCACTTAAATGGAAGTAACATAACTGGGACTATTTTGCTTGCAGAAAAAAAATAAGACTATTAGCTGAAGCCACTGAGATGTAACTACGGCATAGCAGTGAAGGGAAGACCATCTCTATAATAGTTTAGTCTCACATGGTCTGTAATAGTTTGGTCTAATTTCAGTTGCTGGGTGCTTGGTGGTCAGGAGGTCAGACTTGGTAATCTGGTCTTAAACTCTAACTCTTTCATTCTAAACTTCCTTGCTGGAATTAAATTTCTCTTCTGGGAGAGAAATGGTCTGCTTAAGAGAAAAGCAAAGCAAATCTTTTCCATTTAACCAGGCATAACAACATGAACCACTGGAAAAAAGTATAAACCCTGCATTGATGGGTGGAGATAGGTGGCCCATTAATACATCCAATAACATGCACAAAACTCAGAAAAAAACATATTTAAAATAAAGTATGTTGTGGCAACTAGTGTTTAGCAAACCAGAGGAACTGCTTTTGAATAGAAAATAACTTATTAAAGTAGTAAAGGGGAGGCATTTATGTCAGCCTTGTGTAAGATTTTTGTTGTTGATTTGATGTCAAAAAAGGTGACAAGCTTTCTTGCACATTCATGTGTCTGCAGTTAACGCATTTGTACATGCAAATTGGGCATTATGTTGCTAACTAGGCATTTTGATGTTTAAGTACCTATTTGTATGTACCTACTTTGAAAACTTGGCCTTATCTGGCTGATTGAAGAACAGTTCTTAGGCAGGTTTCAGAGTAGCAGCCGTGTTAGTCTGTATCCGCAAAAAGAACAGGAGTACTTGTGGCACCTTAGAGACTAACAAATTTATTAGAGCATAAGCTTTCGTGGGCTACAACCCACTTCTTCGGATGCATCTTAGAAAGAATGGCTGTACAGTGACCCCCCTGCAATTCCTTTTTGGGTCAGGCCCCCAATTTGAGAAACACTGGTCTCAAATTCTCAAATTTCTTAGGCAATCATTTTGTGTGTATGGATCCATGATGGGCCTTAGGCAGTGTAACACTTAGCATTATGGCACCTAACTTTTAGGCACCTAGAAAATCATAGGAACAACACTGTGATCTGCAAAGCAGAATTAGACACCTAGGCTTCCTATAGAATGAAGGGGAGAGAGACACTCCTAAGAATATGATCCACAAAACCAGCATGCTAGGCAGGGAAGTGCCTAAGATAGCTAATGGAAGATGCCAAGGAGAGGTGTGTGTGCTACGTCCCACTCCTCTTATGGTGATAGGTGCCTAAATCCAGTCTGAAGGGAGGTGCCTACTTCTGCTTGTGATCCATCAACAGGATCCTGCCACATGTAGTCAGACAGCTTAGGCACTCCTTGTAAAATGAGTTGGTTGTCTGCCTTGCTCCATTCAAAACAGTGCTTTGATCGCTGAGCTGTGGGCAATTCTGATGTGGGGCTCCCTCAATGTCTCTTGTTGAAGCTGTTCCACTGTGGGTAGGGTGACGAGATGTCCCGATTTTATAGTGACAGTCCTGATATTTGGGGCTTTGTCTTATATAGGCTCCTATAACCCCCTACCCCCAGTCCCAGTTTTTCACACTTGCTGTCTGGTCACCCTAACTGTGGGTAAATCATTAAATAGTCTTTGGGCTACAGGGGGAGAGAGTGTGAATGACTCCTTAGCCTGGTGATTAGGGCATCCACCTGGGAGCGGAGACATCCAGGGTCCAGTCCCATTGCTTCCAATAATTCTTCCATTATTTATCCACAGTGGAACAGCTTCAACAGGAGATATTGAGGTTATGGGCCAGGTTAATGAAAAAACAAGCCGCTTTTTATTTCTAATTATTTTAAGTTGCACTTGTTTTTCTGTATTTGTTGTACAGAAAAACAACGCTGTATAGAAACACTAAAGTACCCATATTTGTCTATATTAGACCCTGCAAGTTATCATTTGTAGGACCTTCTACGTGTAAACAGTAACAATACAATTCTTAAGGCAGATGAACAGTTTGGAATGTAATTTAATCACTAACCAAAGTTAAGTTTGGAAAACCCAAAATGTAATGCCAGCAGATACTTTTGCATGTGAGTGACCTGACTCATACAAATAGCTGAACTGAGTTCAATAGGTGTACTTAGGTACATAAAATTACTCATATGTCATATCAGAATATCCCATAGCTCAGTGGTTAAAACACCCTTCTGAGTGGTTGGAGACCACTATTCAAATCTTTAACATGGGTGTCTCACAACCCAGGTGAGGGTTTAACCACTGAGTTAAAAGTTATAACTAGGGCCCTATCAAATTCACGGCCATTAAAAATGCATCATGGACTGAAATCTGGTCTTTTGTGTGCTTTTACCCTATACTGTACAGATTTCATGGGGGAGACCAGTGTTTCTCAAATTGGGGGCCTGACCCAAAAAGGAATTGCAGGGGGGTCACTGTACAGCCATTCTTTCTTTTGCGCTGCCTTCAGAGCTGGGTGACTGGATAGCAGCGGCTGTTGGCCAGGCGCCCAGCTCTGAAGGCAGCGTCCCGCCAGCAGCAGTGCAGAAGTAAGGGTGGCAATAACATCCCGTCCCACCCTTACTTCTGCGCTGTTGCCTTCAGAGCTGGGTGGCTGGAGAGTGGTGGCTGCTGACTGAGGGCCCAGCTCTGCAGGCAGCAGCGCAGGAGTAAATGTGCCCATACCATACGATGCCATCCTTCTTCTGCGCTGTTCCTGGCAGTGGCTCTGCTTTCAGAGCTGGGCTCTCAGACGGCAGCCACCGCTCTCCAGCTGCCCAGCTCTGAAGGCAGCGCCGCCAACAGCAGCAGCACAGAAGTAAGGGTAACAGTACTACAAACCCCCTACAATAACCTTATGACCCTCCCGCCCCCACAACTCCTTTTTGGGTCAGTACCCCTACAATTACAATGCCCTGAAATTTCAGATTTAAATGGCTGAAATCATGAAATTTATGATTTTTTAAATCCTATGACTGAAATTGACAAAAATGGACCTTGAATTTGGTAGGGCCCTAGTTATAAGGTGAGCACCAGCAACATCACCACCTCCTTCCAGCCAGATTTTGAATGGGCTCCAATCTTGTAGGCGTGCTCAGAGCCCACCTGTCGGATCAGGCCCCATACATGATACAGGCGGCCGAATGCGTTTCTTCTCTCAGTTTTTGGTTCACTGTGAAGCTTAGGCAGATAAGTGTCCAGATGCCTAGAGAGAGGCAGTAATGCATATGCTCAGAGGCAGAAACTTAGGCACCTGGGAACTTTTCTACCTTGAAAACATAGGAGTCAAGTTAGTTCAGGAGCATACAGGGCTCAGTGGGAGTTTTGTGCATTGCAGTGGAACCAAAACTGGGACTTAGGCACCTTAACCTGAGGCCTGGTCTACACTGGGGGGCGGGAGGGGAGAGAGGAGGGATTGATCTAAGTTACACAACTTCAGCTATGTGAATAACATAGCTGAAGTCGACGTACTTAGATAGACTTACCATGGTGTCTTCACTGCGATGACTCGACTGCTGCCGCTCCCCCGTCGACTCTGCCTGCGCCTCTCGCCGAGCTGGAGTACCAGAGTCGACAGGAGAGCGCTCGGGGGTCGATTTACCGCGTCTAGATTTAACGCAATAAATCGAGCCCCACTGGATTGATCGCTGCCCGCCGATCCAGCGGGTAGTGAAGACATACCCTGAGACTTAAGTGTTTAAATACCTTTGTGAATCCCACCCATAATGTCTAATCTTCACAGTATGCAATGCATGGTATTCAAAATACTCTTTTGGCCTGTAAGTGCAATACCTCCATTCTCCAGACTTTTTATTCATTTTTTTTTCTTAATGTAAGCCTTCAATTTATGAATACAGCACAGTTGTATTAGAGTTTAGTTTATCTTTGTTTTATTGTTTATAACACATATAATAAAGGGAAAAATGATATGCAGAGTGAATGTTAGGTGGTCTCATTGTAAACCTTATTAAACCAAAATAGCTCATATATTTTTATATCTTCAAAGGCTGTCCTGTTAGGAAGTTTTTGTTCTATCCAAATATATTGTTGGATTCATAAGTTGCTTACATATTGTCAACATATCCCAAAACATTTACTGATTTCCTCCATTTTTTGCTTCTGTTTCATACAAAGGCCATTTATATTGTTACTTTTTAATGAGATAGTGAGTTGCAGATTCTACATCTGCCCCAGACTCCCTGACAATTTTTCCCTGAGTCTCCTTCCCAACCAGATTGTCCTATATTTACAAAATATTTTCTCTCAGGAAAGACCCTCTCAAACAGAGGAAAACTGACTATACAGAGGCAAGAGTGAGTCTGACTAGAATTAAATAGTATAATATACAAAATAAATTGGATGAAAAAATTATAGTACTCTTAGCAACTGCCTTCACAGGCACATCCTAGCACCCATGGGGAGCTCTGTTGGATCCTGTGCTGCGCTTATTACAGGATTGTAGCCTTACATCTTTCTTGTAAGAACAGCATGTTTAATAATATTCAGATAGAAATGTGATACTTTTTTTTCCACTTTGGTAGTATCCCTGTCATATAGGAGTGTTTTATCTGAATTCCATTTCCTTAGAATCAAATTCCCTACATTTCTTAGTTCACCATAATAAGCTTAATTCTTATCACATTTTTCTGTAGTATCATCCCTAGTATATTATAAAAGGATCTATATAATCCCATACTGATCTGTGTTTGCAACGTAAGGTTATTCAAAAGAAAATATAAAAATGCTTTCTTTGCAGTGAGTTGTCCCTTTTCCCCATTTTGCTGTTAGAAGTATCGAAAACGGACACACAGGAAGTAGCAGAAGGGCATAAATAGAGCCAAAGAAGCTATTTATAAGCACAGCTAATTGCGCGGGTCCCTCTATCAGATTCAAGTGCCTTCCACATTTGCACTGTAGTATAAACCATCACAGTGCATCATAGTTTCCAGTGGATTTAAAAAATTGGCTCTGTTGCACTGTGCTGTTCTTATTTTTTCAGGTTGTGGAACTTTGGCAGTGCTGGAACAAAATGAAGCTGGGATTTGTCTTTTCAGGAGGTAACAACTTTATACGTTTTTAATGGGAAGTATTTGTTATAGAACCTTTAGAGGATATTTTGGTATTTCTATTAGTAATAAATAATGGCTGTATGATATATTCAACATACACCTCCATTACTTAGGTACAAAGATCTGGTTATATTATCTGGCTTAAAATATTAAACGGTATTTTTAAAGTTGACACCATCCTTAAAGTAAGCCATTTAGGGGCAGCAGAGTGGTGCAAGTTAAAAGCAGTGTCTCTGGCCTAGCTTATTGTTGCATGTTGAGTCTTGCTGCCCTTGCATTGCTGCTTGGACCCAAAACTTTTCACTGAATGGGTTTGAACGAAGCGGGAACCTGTGGAAACTAAACTTTGTAGGTATTTCCCTATTGATCTTTTCTGGGGAATGGTGATACCTCTGGTAGTTCTTTTTAGGCTATCTCCTCTCACAGCTCAGCAATGCCCCACCTAAAAACTTGTGGTGCTCTGACTGTAAGAGAATCGTTGACACAACTTGAAACATAAAGCTGACCATTTGGACTTATCTGAGATGAGAGTTTAAATAGAAATATAATAAATTACCTTACTCTTAGATACCAGCAGATATTTTTTCAGTTGGTAATTAGATAGCAGGCTACTTATAGCAGTTAAATATTGTACTGCTACTGCTGGGTATAGTATTATAGTAATAAATGAATATTACTGGTTCAGTAATGTAAGTACTTTCTATCCCCTCGTTGCTTGTAGTGGGAGGCCCTATGTTTCTTTGTTAAACCTTGGAGGACTGCTCCATGTTTACCACTCCCACCCTGGAGACTCTGAATTACGATCAGCATCCTTATGTATAAAAAGGACTGGATGGGACTCTTCTAATCACTTAACGATGTTTTGCTGTCAATCAGAGTGGTCACTATAGATCAATGAGTGGCATGCCCTTCCTTCAGTGAAATAGAAGTAGAGATTGACTTGGATATTTTGTTATCTTTGTTAGTGATAAATAATAGCTCTATGATCTATCCAAGTTGGCACTACCTCTGTAGCACTCCCATTTGCTCAGGAAGGTTAGGATGGAAATCAGACCTCAGTCTCTATATGAAAGGTGATGGTCTCTGGCTCTCTTGTGCTGACCTGTTCTAACATACCTTGAAAGTTTTTAAAAATTTATCATCAGAATTTCTTCTAAAAAGATTCTTTAGAAAGTCAAACATACAAAAAATTAATATGTTCAGAATGTGGTAAATTAAAGAACATGTTGATTTATCTTTGAATATAACCCAACCAGCTATACAGTCATTTCTCATAGATGAATATCTTGATTGCCTTGGTTTAGTTTTGACTGGAACGATGGCCTGTTTGATGTGACATGGAGTGAGAACAATGAACATGTGCTGGTGACTTCTAGTGGGGATGGATCTCTGCAGATCTGGGACACTGCTAACCCCACAGGTCCACTGCAAGTCTATAAAGAGCACACTCAGGAGGTAATAGAGGCAAACTTAAAATGTTAATGGCCTACTTTTTTTTTACTGCTTGGATTATTAAAGGGCTCACTTGCAGAATCACTATTGGAAAGTGTTTTTTCTTTGCTTGGGGTTATAGCATGAATTTACAGCTTCAAGACTGTTGAACATGAGGTAAATTACATATTGTGTTTATAAGAGATGACATTTGGTCACATAAAATTAATATTTTTTAGAAATATTTCAAAGACTTTATTCTCAATTCCGCCAAGATTAGGTTGCGGAACTCATTCAGGAGAATGTGGCATTGAACAGGCCAAGTCTCAACTAGAAGGATGGTGTCTGCAGCAATGGTACCATGAAGGGTGTAAAGTGAGACATTATGCAGATCCTCAGGACTCTCTTCATAGTCAGGGTGGGAAAAGGCAAGAGCCTTCAAATATCTGTGAGGCCCTAGTCTCAGAAAACTGTAGTTATTTGTGCCCATTAAGCATAAAAAGGAATCCTAAAACTATTAATATAACATGCCTAACCTGAATTTGTTTGTGTGTACACATCTCAAGGTTATAAAGAAGGAGGAAGTAGCATCTATTTAAAGTTGGACACTTTCTCCCTCTTTACTTATCACTGAGAGTGAATATAAATGATTCCTGTCGTTTTTACAAACCATTAAAACTGAAATATCTCCTTCAACAGTATTTTACCTCATTGTGTTTTTAGGCTGACTGTTACTCTTTTAATTATTTGGCTCTCAAAATGGGGAATAGGTGGAATAACTGTAACCTCTATATATTTTTGGCATGTCACAACCCTGAAGTAGAGGCACATGGGAAGGAAAAGTCATGTAACATTATGAACTCAGCCTGCAGAAAGGAGTGCTAGACTGCTACGGGGAACCCGTTCAAAGTGATATAATGTACTTTGGGTGGGAGAGGCAGATAATTGAAAATCTTTCTAAGGGACCTGCAAAAGAGGTGACCCACAATGGGTCCTGTTGTGTTAACTGGGCCTACAAATGTACCCTAATTGCAAGCTCATCTTTAAAAGTGACTGAAAATTCATAAGACCTATAACAAATGTTGATGGGGGGAAAGTGCAAAAGTGGGACACAGTGCACTAATTCTGTCTAACAAAAGGCCTGCTGATATAACTCAAGGATTGTGTTAAGATCATGCTTGGTAAACAGGAGAAGTGTGGAACTGGAAATCGGTGAACCAAAATTGCTGTATTGGAAATTAGGCCTGATTGATGAACAAAATAATGAAGGGATGGGCTATTCCACCATCACTCCCTTTTGGGTTCCTGAAAAAGGGACTTTGGGGGCAGGGGGAGCTAATGGACTGCAGTGCTGCCTGACTGAAAGATGAGAGATGGGGAAGGGGCAAGCTTCACCATCATGGCAGCCACTCCACTATTTCCTGGGACCCCAAACCTTTATTCTCATCCTGAAGGGTGTCCTGACAAGACTGGGCCAAGAGAGGCACCCAGATGACTCTGCCACCTCTACTGGCTCCAGCTGAATCCCAAACACCACTTGAGATATGAGACTTTTTGCTTTTCCTTCCTTACCTTATTTCTTCTCTTTCCTGTCTCTCTGCTTTTTTATTTCTCTCTAATAACACTCTTGCTTAGCCAGCCAGGACAGCATATTTTGCAACACTGCTGTAAGCCTGTGACCAGAAAGAGGCAACTTAAAGCAATCACCTAAACAGCCCAAGACTTGTTCAGGTTTGCCAGGTCTTGAAGTCGCTGATAAGACCATGTGCTGTACCTGTGTTTTTTCCAGTAATGAGGTTGCAAGTGAAAACATCAGAGACAGAAACTGCATTTTCGGTCTTTACTATTCTTTTCTCTCCTCTTTGTGTATGTGTGTTTTGTCATCTTATGAAACGGGATCAGACTTTAATAGCTCCAGCCATCTCAAGTAACTTCTTCTCTTTCCCCCCAAAATAGTTATTACCATCTTTGATACCATCTAAAATCCTGTCAATCAAGGGGTGTATTCCTTTGAAAAACTCATTCCAGATAAAGTAAAGGGAACAAGGGATGTTGTTAAAATGAAAGCCTTATTTAATACATTTCATTTCAAATGCTTTAGCTTTTTCTTTCTTTTCTATATCTCTGATAAAAGGTTAAAAGGATTTTTAATGATGTTTGCCATGGGATTAAGCAGGCTGAGGTCTCTGCATGTGAAACTCCAAACCTTGTTTAAAACAGTTTAATGTTGGACAGTGACTGGGTTATGTTACATCTTTAACTCTTTGGGTCCATATATTCCATCTGAATTAATACAACAGGCCCGAATGCACAAGATTTCGGGCCCACTGTTTAAATGGAAAAATTGTGATTAGCATGGATCTTTATATTGGTCTGACTAGCCTTACATTACATCTATTGACAAAATTAAGACTGAATTGAATTTTTTTAAAGACTAACAGATTTATTTGGGCATAAGCTTTCGTGGGTAAAAAACCCACTTCTTAAGATGCATGACTCTATGCATGCATGGAGAAGTGGGGTTTTTACCCACGAAAGCTTATACCCAAATAAATCTGTTAGTCTTTAAGGTGCCACTGGACTCTTCCTTGTTTTTGTGGATACAGACTAACACAGCTACCCCTCTGATAGTTGAATTTTCTTAAAGATAAAATACTACAATATCAGAATTTGTTTCATATTTAGTAACATAAATTGGTATATATGTATAAATATTTATACCTGATGTAGCTATACTGGGGGGAATCTTTCTGAGGTGCAGAAATCATTAGCTTGTGTGGTTCACCTCTTTTTCCAAGGCTGAAACTCCTACGAATGAATTATTGCCTGTTCGCTCTCATAAAGATGAGGAATTATTTTCTTGCAGACCTGAAGCAATATGATGTTCAAAGAACGGCATTGACTTTAAGTGGGTTTTGCTGACCAGTGACTTTTTAAAAACTATCTGTCAGGGGTTACAGCCAATTTCATTGCAGCTGTCTTCTGCCAAGAGTAGTATTGATCATTGTAATTTTCCTATATAGTGTAAAGAGCATAAACTAGTCATTAGTGGCCAGGATTAGGAAGAAATTTTCCACTATGGGCAGATTATTTCATAATTGTACCGTATGCCACTTCAGAAACATCTGGTACCTACTGCTGTTGATCAGCTTGCAGATCAAGTTTAAGATGTGACTGACATGAATGATGGACAGTATTCAGCAGCCAGTAGCAATGTTGCATTTCACTTCACAGCAAGGAGAGCTAACATGTTTTTACATCCAGGAAATACCAATGTACATTTGCCGTCGATGTATGTTTTAAGTGTGATAGAGTATGTCCAGTATAAACTGAAGTAGAGAAGAGAGGGTCATAGCAGGAGGCAAGACAGTGTTTTGAACTGTCAGCATGGAATGACTCCCTGGGTAACGTCAATATTTGTTGCAATGGCAGGGTCAGGCTGAAAAAGCTGCAAGAGGGAACAATGTGTCAAGTCTCTTAAGTAATATAGGTTTAAATAATGATTTGAACGGCACTACCATGGATTAAAGCATGGAACTCTGTTGTCTTGCTTCTGGGAAATCCAGAATGTTGACGTTTGTCCATCTCTATATAAAAAAGTAGTTGACTAAATGTGTTACCTTTCAGCACAATTTCTACAAATTGAGGAAATCTCCAGTTAAGCAACATTATCATCCACACCAACCACTGTGCATGGGCCTTACCATTCAAATGCACTCAGATTTCTAGCTTGACAATGAGCTCCCTTTCACTTTGAGCATACAGCCACCTATAATACACATATCCAGTTACGCATTAATAAATGAACAACTTTAACACCAAGATTAAATATATACTACCCATATATTTTCTACTTTAACTAATCTGAGGATGGAGTTATGATTGTGC